AAAGTAAAGAACTTTTATGTAAAGGTATCCAATTGTAATACATCAACTGGCCACTGGTGGGACATTCTGCCAAACTGATCCACTTAGTTAAGCACTGTATTGTACGCTCAAAGGAACCTCTACCTATCCCCCCACCTGTGAAGAGGCGAAAGTGGTGGGGAGGGGTGGGAGGGAGAAAGAGGAGAACATAGCCACCAGTCAGGGTATTAAAATAAGGATAACTTTTCATCACAAACTAAGTACCATTCCTAAATGTTACACTTGCAGTAATTAAAGAAAGCAAAACATGCACGAACATGGCAATTACCCCATTTTTTTAGCTAATGTGTGAGAAATTTTACATTTATAATAGTGCCTTTCACCACAGAGGGATAGCTCAAAGCATTTCACAGAATCGGCTGGGAGTCTGACCTGGACGAGGCAAGGTGAAGGTACGAGGCAAAGCGACTCCAGGCTAGAGTTCCAGAGAACAGTAAGTAAGAACAGTAAGTAAGGGAGAACTACTGTGCTTAAGCCTCACCACCACCTTTACGATGTCAGCAGCCATAAGATCCATGGGCCAAAGTTAGGATACAACTAAACCATCTCATTCACCTCATGACTATTTGTACGGCATTTCTGTGTGCAAATTGGCTGTTGTATTTGCGTTCAGAGTCACTACACTTCGCAGTAAAATCCGTGTAGAACTTTGAAATTTTGACCTGATAGAGCTATATTGAATGCAAGGATTATTATTAGTATTACATTCCAAGTCAATCCAGGACAATTTGCTGGACCAGTGAGGTTAGTTTATTTTCTTATTGGTAAACGTAAACTGAATATTGTATGTTTAAATATTGGGACCAGTAAATAGCAATCTCAAAACATCTTATTAATGGGATTTATAATAATTAATGGGGTTTCCAAAAGATGTAGCTACTTTATTGATCACAACAAAATACTTAATTGTTAGTAAATTGGGAATAACATGTCAAATTCCCACCAGACAATGTTTTTTAAAAAAACAATCAAATCTCCTCCGACTTGGCCATTTCCCTGCTTGACCTCTTTTTTTAAAAAAATGTAGGATTATATCTGCAATTCTTGCTAACTAAATGCTCCACACAAGAAAAAAACAACTTAGCTCACACGAAACAACAAGAGTACATCCTTTTTGCCATATTCATGTGTTAAACCAACAACAATCAGCATGAAACATACATCCATACAACTGAACCCAATCAGCTTCCTCAGCAGGTTGCAGCAATATTTCCCCACTCAAGCCCCCACCCCCAAATCTTTCATAAACAGAGTTAAAGACAAGAGTTTATGTACTTAAAGCAATGAACAGAGCAGCTATATAAGTTTTCAAAGTATAGAAGTTTTGTTTCCATGATTCACTCCCTTCCACTAGATTAGTACTATTATGACTGGGTTCTGCTGGTAACCTTTTTCCAGCTGAGAGAACAAAATGGCTTGCACCACCAGTCTTTTTTCTTGTACGTTAGATGACTAAATAAAGAATGTTGCCAGAGGGTAATTAGCAATTGGAACAGGTTGTCACGAGGGGAGGTTGTGGCCAGAACACTGGACTCATTAAAATAAAACTATTTGATGATGTGCTGGGAGATTAGTAGGGTAGGTATTCTGAAGGGTTTGATCAAATGGGCCAAAGAGCCTCCTTCATCCAAACTTATCTCGTCAAATGACATTCAAAGTTAGGTTTCCAAATATGACAGAGCTCACCACTCTGCAATGAACAGGAAACACATTCTGAACTCAGTAGCCTAGATCAGAGCAGATATTTTACATAAATATGACATGGTTAGTGCAAAAATAAAACAGCAAAGCGACTTCATATCTTCATCAGTGAGTTAATTATCTGTAAATTGGAAATACAAATTACAAATTAAGAGCTGGATACCATCTTTAAATGTGACTGAGATTAGCAGAAAATAGACCGTCATCTCTGAATTACTGTAAGAGTTTTCAGGTTCCATTAAGGGTCAATAATTGAGGTAATACCAAGAATTCTACGATCATGTCCATGGTATTTCCACTTAAGGCAAAACTGAAAACTTTTTCCCTTGGTCAGAATGTTAGCTCTCATCTCAACTATTGCAATAATTTAATAGATTGATTTTCATACAAGTACCGAACATGATACATTTTTTCCAGGGAATTAGTGGGGGGGTGTTCAGAAACACAGATAAGCAGTACAATCATAGATTGATAGAATTATAATAATAATAATAATCCTTGCATTTGATATAGCGCTTTTCAGGTCTTCTCAACGTCTCAAAGCCAATTGTGCACAGCAGTGTCCCACAAACAGTTGTGGATTGAAAATGACCAATTTATTATTGTTTTGTTTTGGAGGAATTATTATTAGGCGTGCGGAGTAAGGAAACTTGCCCAAGGGTTCGCTGTGCCTGGAATTGAACCCAGGTCTCTCGCTTGCAAGGCGAGTGCTCTAACCACTGAGCTACAGGACTTCACATTATACATCACAGAAGGAGGCCATTCGGCCCATCGTGTCTGTGCCGGTTCTTTTAAAAGAACTATCTAAATCAATCCCACTCCCTCGCTTTCTCCCTATAGCCCTGCAAACTTGTCCCCTCTAAATAATTATCTAGTAAATCTAGTAAAAAAAATTCTTTCAAAAAAGACAGTTGCACTATGAAGAAGTTCAAATGACACTGTAAACCAAGAGCAGAGCTTGAGAGCTTGCCAAATGTTACCCAAACTTTCCTGTTCTGGAATGGCTGACTGCAACTCATTCCTCGTCTTTTTCATATATCATTTCAAGACTTAAATAGCCAGATCGTAATGTTGTTACTCTGGAGCGTTTAAGATTTGTTAAGATAAAAGGGAATGAAGATATTGAGCACATGACTGCTAAACAGTCTCAACAAAGGCGTACAAGGACACAGAACTACAAACTCTTCCAGCACAGAAGCAGGCCATTCAACTAAATTCCATCCTGGAGTTTATATTCCACATGAATCTTCACCCTCCTTTTTTCTTCATCCTAATCAATCAATTGCTTTATCTGAACCAATCTTTTGGTCTGATAATCACCTTACTCACAGCCCTCTTTCTCTTCTCCCTCTTTTAGGTGTTTACATTTGAGACGTCTTCCCGACATGAAAGCATTCTACCAAATGTGAGGATTATTATTATTATTATTTATGCTTCTAAAGAAGATGAGTTCTATTGAAATACCAGATTATTTGGGGAATAAAATACTGTAATTTCAAGTGGGATTTCTTAATTCAGGAATCTGACGGTATGTCATATATGGGAACCAGGCTCTGAAAGCAAATCTTAATAATAATAATAATCCTTGCATTTGATATAGAGCTTTTCACGTCAGGAGGACGTCCCAAAGCGCTTCACAGAACACACTGTGAAGTGAATTGACTGTATATTTGTGGGCGAACGCGGCAGCCAATTGCGCACAGCAATGTCCCACAAACAGTCGTAGATTGAAAATGATCAATTTATTATTGGTTTGGGTTTTTGGAGGGATTATTATTAGGCGTGTGGAGTAAGGAAACTTGCCCAAGGTTTCGCCCTGCCTGGAATTGAACTCAATCTTGTCAAAGAGTTCCTGTAATTTTCCGTATTGTATTTCTGAATTCCTTGTCCTGCCAACCCATGGGAGCTTGATTAATTATGGAAATCCTATTTGAATTTAGCGATTTAGATTTCAAAATATACAAATAGACAACTCAAAAATAATTGTTTCTAATCTACTACCATTGTTACATTCCATTTTCTTGAGTTTCCTTGTGTCTGTCTCAGATTCCTGGATTTCTGTCCCCTCCCCCACAAATACACACACACACTTTCATGTCTGTGTTTCAACCACACCAAGTCTATGTCTGGTATCAGGATGACATGTTTTTCAAACAAAGTTCATCTGATCAGTCAAATGTTCCAAGTTCCCAGCCACACTGAGGTCTAATTTGTGGTATTTAATGGAATTCCTATCAATTCATTGGAACTTCTCTCAAAGTATAGCACATCAGGCCTGAATCTGCGAGATGAATTCCAGTTGTGGGAAGGAGCCCCCATTTGCATGAGCCAAGATTAAATATTATTATTATTATTATTATTAATAAAGAATCCCACTTAAAGAACCCTCAAAATTACACCCCACTATCCAGGTACCTGGAGCATACTAAGAGTAATGTGTTGTTTTGAAGAAACTGAACAAGTTGTATTCTAACCAAATAGGGTAAAATGTTCATAAGTTTCACTCCTGAACCATGCCGAATATAAATGGACTGAAAAGTCATCCAAAAACAATTTACTCTGAACTGCAAAATTACTGTCTGCTTCTGAAGCACTTCACCCTAAAAAAATACTGAAACGACAAACGTAATTCACGGTGCCAGAATATATCTGTGGTGAGAATTTAAATGTGCCTTGCATTTAGCCAATTTTCAAATAAAAGTTGGGGCGATTTGAATTTATTTTGGAAGCAGATTTTTTGTGAAAGGTGTCACAGCTGTGATCTTGGACAGATTAGCAAGAAGATGTTCTGAAATACTGTATTTAAACATTGCAACAATCATAAAAGAGGACAGATGATGCAAACGTGGCCCCCGCATTATACTCAGTGTTTGGGTTTCAGTGATGATCATTACAAAATAATTGATTACAGAACTATTGTGTTCACAAATTTGTAAATCCAAAAAAGTATATGAATTAAATTCTGGTGTAAAATCTGCAGCAATAGTTTATAGCAACATAAAGGTTCACCAGCATCTTACCAGACAAGATGCATTCCCACGCCCACCAAGCAAGTGGTTTGCTCTTTCCCAGATCCTCAGGCAAACAATTTTTATTTTCTAAATTTTAGGCCCTGCATTTAGCTCTATGATCTTTTTCTTTGTTAATCAAGTAGGCCTCTGGACTGGATGCTAAAAGCTAACAATCACAATCACACTCGTCATAAAAACTAAGACAAAGTCTGTATCTCTGCTTTTCCTTACACACACTCAATACATTACCTTTGCTGCAATAAGGAAAATGTCATTTCCAATGTGTTTCATACGACAGGCAATGACACCGAGAGCGACTCCTGGAAATATATAGGCATTGTTACCCTGACCAGGATACATTACACGTCCATCTGGAAGAGTAACTGGGGCAAATGGACTTCCACTTGCAAATATACCTTGACCCTGCAACATAAAAAGGAAACAAAAATACTTCAGAGATTAAAATTTTGCAGGCTATATTGAATCTCAAGATCATAATCAATCACAAACCATGAATCATAAACTTACTTTTTTCCCCCAAAATGACATCCAATTAATAATTAACTGGTGATTTTTGTCTCTCCAACTTGTAGTTTTCCAAGGCCCTCTGTCATGTAAATTTATACAGAGAGAAGATGTCTAAATAACTGTGGAGTATTGTTTGCAACCCAGTCTGCTGAAACCACAGCACTCAAATTCATATAATAATAATCCTTGCATTTGATATAGCGCTTTTCACATCTTTTAGACGTCCCAAAGAGCTTCACAGAATATACTGTAAAGTGAATTGACTGTATATGTGTGGGCGAACGTGGCAGCCAATTGCGCATAGCAGTGTCCCACAGACAGTCGTGGATTGAAAATGACCAATTTATTACTGTTTTGTTTTTTTGGAGGGATTATTATTAGGCGTGTGGAGTAAGGAAACTTGCCCAAGGTTTTGCCCTGCCTGGAATTGAACTCAGGTCTCTCATTTGCAAAGTGAGTGCTCTAACCACTGAGCTACAGGACTCCACAGGATATGTGGACCCGTAAAATCCAGACGCAACAGTTAAGCAGCGATTTGTAGGGTTATGGCACAGACTCAATTTCACAGTCAGCCCAGCCCTTGCACTGAACTCAACCTCACCTTAGGCAAGTTTTGATTTTGAAATTCCAGGCACAAGGTTCAGAAATATTACATTGGAACAGTCTTCAAAAATCTAGCTGAAATTGCAGATTGCAAAGGATATCAATCACACAGACATGGTGTTTCAACTTTTAAAAGCAGGGTTGTAATTGGTTTACTTTGCTTTTATCTATAAAACAATACCACTATATTCATAATCCAATAGAATCCATAATCAGAGATAGAATTTCACACTGGCCCCATCTTAAAACTAGCTGTGCAGCTAGGCATAAGAAATGTAAATAACAATTGTCTCACATTTGAACAAGTTAAATAAACTAATTTTGACATGAATGCTCAAAAAATATGATTTTCAAATATCGTAAAAATGTAATTAGTGAGAAATGCAGTTTTTTTTTGTCGTTTAAAATAAACTTTCTCCTTCTTCTCTTGAAGGACAAACTCTAGGTGGGATCTAGTTCTGGTTTTATTTGCTCCAGTGCCTCACCAAAGTGGCCAAATACATGAGTGAGCCAGGAAAAGTAGCAGTCAGCAAGCATGTAGACAGCTAAGTCACCCATTGGTAGCAATTTGGCTCATTCATGCATTTGGGTGATATACTGCAGGGCGGTGATGGTCATCATAGTGTCGGACTGGCTCAGTTGGTTGCACTATCACCTCTGAGTCAGAAGGATGTTCAAGCCTCACATCAGGACTTTGAACTCCGAATCTAGATTGACACTCCAATAGATTGCTGGGGGAGTCCTGCATTGTGGAGGTGCCATCTTTTGGATGAAAGGTTAAACCGAGGCTCCATCAATCCCATGACATTATTCAGAAAGCGAATGGGGTTTCTCCAGTGTCCCGGCCAACAAGCCCCCAGATAAAATTGGTCATTCACTATGCAGCTGTTTGTGGGACATTACAGTGAGGAAATTGCCAGCCACATTCACCTGCAAAATATTTAGTTACAATACTTTACAGTGTATCTCGTGGAGTACTTGAGATGTTCTCCTGAAATGAAAGACGCTATATAAAAAACATACTGTATAAATATATTACGATAAACATATTAGGATAATTTAAAAGCGCAATGAACATGAAATCCTCAGGCAACTCCCGATGTAAAGGAAAATGATTCCACAAATTCAGGGTACAAGCCAGAATGTAATGGGATCACATAGCTTATATTAGCTTCACGTAGCGTGGAGTCCTGTAGCTCAGTGGTTAGAGCACACGCCTCGCAAGCGAGAGATCTGAGTGCAATTCCCGGTAGGGCAAAATGTTGGGCGAGTTTCCTTACTCCACACGCCTCTGCTTACCTAGCAGTAAATAGGAGCCCAGCTGTTAGCCGAGTGGCAGATTGCTTTTCCGGGGGTAATAATTCCTTCAAAAAAAAATTGGTCCCTTCAATCCACGACTGTTTGTTGGACACTGCTGTGTGCAATTGGCTGCCGCGTTTGCCCACAAATATACAGTCAATTCACTTTACAGTGTGTTCTGTGAAGCGCTTTGGGACGTCCTCCCGACGTGAAAAGCGCTATATCAAATGCAAGGGTTATTATTATTATTAATGTAAAGTCAGTTTACATTGCATTCATGCACAACCTGATGAACTGATATCTTATACAAATGCATTAAATGTGCTGGCAAGCTACATATATGAGGGCACCATCATTCAGATAAAGGACAAAGTGGGTTGGTGACTTAGGAAAAGTATGTAGGCAATTAGCCTGGGCTAGATCACTGCCAGTTGTGAGGTTTGGAAAGACTATTCTCATTGTATTCAACAACCTTTTTTGTTTAGAGGGGGAAAGAGAGGAGATAATGTGGCACGCTGATAGTGATTGCTCTCTGAGTAGATCTGAGTAGTAGGGAAGGGAGCAAAGATTGCCTGGTGTTCTCTCAGTTCCAAAATGGAGTATAGGCAATTTTGTTCCTGAAAGTATAAATGAACATACTGCAGAGATGTACCCCATACGATGACAGTTCCACATTAAACACAGGCATGAATCACAAAATTAGTAGAACTTAGTTTTAGAACAGAAAGATGACACTTGTTCTGTTCATAAATAACTCGACACTCAAACAGCGATGATTTTGTTTAAACTAAACAAATTGGATTGCACATGATTCCAGCAACTGGCACACCTGCTACAGTACTGAAAGTAGTTGACAAAAGATTGGTTAGGACACCCTGGTGCATATAGGTTCCATTGTGCCAATGTAAATAGAAAGCTTTTCCACAAACTTTGAACAAAACTTGTAGATCAACATTCAGTTTCTCTTTCTAGGTTTATTAAGGCCACATGCTTAATGTCGAGGTTCTATTTTAGAAAGGTTTATACATAAAACGTTTCTTATATGGCTCCTGTGAATATTTTGTGGCACTTTTGAGAATATGAAGACTATATCCTTTAACCAAATGATTAATTTATTGTGCAGCAAAATGAAAACTGTTTCAATGGCAAACATTTACTCTAATTTACGGACATGATTACATCCACAGTTTTTCAAGCTTTAAATGAAGCACTGTTTACCAGATTGCACTACAATCTTTCAATAGTTATCAAACCAACAATGCATAATAATCTATAAAGCAGTAATGTCTAATTTGCAGTAGTTTTTAAATGGGATTTCTTATTAAGGAATCTTGTTAACAGGCCTGTCAGCCCGCAGAAAATCTGCTCTTAAGTAGATTGTGTTGGAGCAGAATCCCTGCAGGCCAGCTACAAGAAAATATGCTTGTGAAAAGAACTGGGATATATATAGCTAGAACTAAAACATTGTTTCCCTTTCAATCAAACAGGTGGTGCACATATGCATGGTAATTTATATTTGTCTGGAATGGAATGCCATTCTCTTACCAGTGGGACAAAAACACTATTTATCTGCCCCCAGAGTATTATTTGGCAAGAGGGAAGACTTGGGAACCCCAGTGTGTGTTGGAGTACTGCTGGAGTTCAACCAGCTAAAATCATGCAGCTTGCCATTGCAAACACTGACTGGCAAGCTTCCCACTGCATACCCACATAGGACCACCCAACCCAATAGGGTTAACAGGAGCCAGGCTGGAAGAATCTCCGCCTCCAGTGACAAGATGCGCCTGCAACTTTTGCTAACAAGTTCATCTTCAACAGTGCCATGGGATACTCTGTCTCGCCTGGCTCAGGATCCTCACTATTGAGACTGCCACAGCGATTGACTCAATTCTAATAGTCCAGTTACGAGATAGTAATTAGACAATTGTCAAGCTTAGGTTTAAGCCCCCGTTAGATGGGTACCAGGAACTCCTAAAGCAAAAGTAACATCTGTGAATCCTGTTCTGTGCTAAATTAGTAGCTTGGTGCACTAAAATTGGCCCTTGTCACCTTCAGATCTGGAAGAGTGAAAAAATATTGGAAAACGCATTCCTGCTCTATATATAATGATTTATACTGAAAAGTACACCAGGCTTAACTGTAATGACCTTCATGATCAATTAACCCTGCTGTGACTCACTGCTTGGGTTCCTGCATTCAATAATTGCCTCTTTAAGTTATCTTCAAGAAAAGGTTGGGGAAAAAGAAAATTGACATAAAAAAACTGAGATGAGAGCAGTTGAATGAAAAGAACTTCTATGTGTAAGTAGCAGGCTGTGTTCACTTTTCAGTAAGGCTGGGAGCTACCTATTCTACATATTTACAATTCAGTTTGGGAAAAAGTTGCTGCAAATTTGATAAATTAGTTGCAGTTGGACGCAAATTGTAAAGGGCTTTTTTTCCCTTCATCCATGGCAGATATAATTTTTTTTAGAAAAGGTTCTTGAACTATTGCTATAAAAACAATTTGGAAAGTATTTTTTATTACCCCACTTGATTAAACACAGCTGGAATCTACTCAATTTTCTCAGACTTTATTTAATATAAGAATATTTTCACAGAAGATGGAAGTGGGAATGGATGATTGTAATTCCTTGGACACCCCTCCTCAACTGGGAAGTGTACCAACAGAATTGGTTTCATGGCCCAGTACTGAAAAGACAATTCCCAGTTGTGCCAGTGTGATTCTCTAAGTTATGTCTTTTTATGTTTCACAGGACAAAGCGAAACACTAAAGAATGTTTTTCACTAAGGCTACTGTTCCCAATAGATGACTCTACGCATCATTGGAGGGGGTCTGAGTGCAGGTTGCCTGGGCCTCTTGGGTGCAGTCGGTCTGCAGTTGACGTAGACCAGAGCAGTAAACAAGAAGATTCATAGCTCATAAAAATATTAAACCCAAGGACAGTGATATCTAACCGAATAATTCCACTACCATTACACTTAAAATACTG